ACCACAAACTACAACTATCACCACCATCAACCACCACTACAATCATCACCACCACTGCAACCATCACCACCACCACCACCATAATCACCACCACCACAACAACAACAGTACTACCATAACATCACCACCATCACCCACCACTATCATCACCCACCACTATCACCACCACTATCATCACCACCATCACCACCACTATCACCACCTCTTCACTAAGCACTTAAAAGGTAGTAAGACCCTTGAGGTAAAGCTGAGAAGAAGATGTTGGACTAAGCAAGTTTTGTCTCTCGGAGGGGGGAGGGGGGTAGGTTTTGCAGGTAGGAGCTCACCTCTACACCTGCCTTGAAGGACAGGTGCAGGAGGGGAAGGGGGAGGGAAAGCCACTTTTTTTTTTTTGGTATTATCACCTCACCCAGTGCTAGCATCTCTTAAGTTGACTTTTGGGTGTGGGGGAGAGAGGAATCTGGGTCTGTCTGTCTGTCTGTCTGTCTATGTATTTTGGGACGGAGAGGAGAGGAATTCAAATTGTCTGTCTATCTGTCTGTCTGTCTGTATTTAGGGGGACGGAGAGGAGAGGAATCTGTCTGTCTGTCTGTCTGTCTGTATTTAGGGGACGGAGAGGAGAGGAATCTGTCTGTCTGTATTTAGGGGACGGAGAGAAGAAGAATCTGTCTCTCTATCTGTCTGTCTGTCTGTCTGTCTGTCTAATCAACTCCCTCTACAAGAGTTAAGTATAACCACAACAATTAATCAAGAGAGAGACTTAACTAAATCATCCTAATATATCCCTCTACAGTCATCCTAATCCACTACACTAGGATGATATTTCTACGAAGGATTCACTCACACACACACACACACACACACACACACACAATTAGGAACCTTGGTCTTGAAGTAGGATTCACATGTACTATGGTCTTAGGACTTATTGAAATATCCTTCTATGGTTGAGAAAGTTAAGTAGTTTTATCTTGTTTTCTTAGTGATACTCTGTTATGTTTTACTCCAGAAGGATTTAGTGAAATTTCTCTTGTGTGTTGAGGGTAAGAAAACTATTGCCTTTGTGGTTTTATTTATCGAGGTAATTCTGGTGGTGTGGTTTGTCTCTCTCAAGGGATTGGGGGTAATCCAGTTGTGATTTTTAACGTTATCACTTGACACACACACACCGTTAACCAGAGCTTTAACACCATAAGTCTTTCTTGGTGATGATGGTGGTACTAAACTGTGGTACCATAACATTCCAACACCTCAGTGATGATGGCGGTACTGCAAACGTTACCATATAACACTAACACCCAGTGGCACCACCACAACACCTCAGTGATGATGGTGGTACTATAAACTGTGGCACCATAACATTCCAACACCTCAGTGATGATGGTGGTATGATGGTGGTACTATAAACTGTGGCACCATAACATTCCAACACCTCAGTGATGATGGTGGTACTATAAACTGTGGCACCATAACATTCCAACACCTCAGTGATGATGGTGGTACTATAAACTGTGGCACCATAACATTCCAACACCTCAGTGATGATGGTGGCACTATAAACTGTGGCACCATAACATTCCAACACCACAGTGATGATGGTGGCACTGTAAACTGTGGCACCATAACATTCCAACACCTCAGTGATGATGGTGGCACTATAAACTGTGGCACCATAACATTCTAACACCTCAGTGATGATGGTGGCACTATAAACTGTGGCACCATAACATTCCAACACCTCAGTGATGATGGTGGCACTATAAACTGTGGCACCATAACATTCTAACACCTCAGGGATGATGGTGGCACTGTAAACTGTGGCACCATCACATTACAACACCTCAGTGATGATGGTGGCACTATAAACTGTGGCACCATAACATTCCAACACCTCAGTGATGATGGTGGCACTATAAACTGTGACACCATAACATTCTAACACCTCACACTATAGGTCAACAATTGTGCCATATCCTCTCTAGTTCATTGGTGGAATTAGATGCTAAGTGGCGTATTAAATTCAAGAGTTAATGGCATTTAATCTCATTTTTTTATCCTTTTGTTAATCTTTCTATAGGTAATTGAACTCCAAAGGTCAATGTACTTTACACATAATAATAATAATAATAATAATAATAATAATAATAATAATAATAATAATAATAATGATGATGATGATGATGATGATCTATATATCACAGGAAGATCATCCCTCCCCCCCTCCCCCCCCACCTGTCCGATAGCTTATTTCACCTGATGATTAAACACCGTAACGCTACCTGGGGAGTTTAGGTTAGGTTAGGTTGGGTTAGGTTAGGTTAGGTCCAAACAAGTCTTTCAGGGATATCTGAAATCTTGTTACGAATCTAAAGGGCTAAATCACCCTGTAGTCCCATGTAAACAGAAGACCATTAATAATATACTTCATAATCTCTAAACATATATTTCCAGGAACCACGACACTCCACAACTACGACACCACGATGACACAGTATTTCCC